AAAAAATTATTTATTTACATTTCATAATATATATACATATATATATATATATATAAAAGAAATGTTAACATATGAATATTAATATTAAAAAATTATTTAATGTAATTTACAATAATAAATCGTAAAATCTTTTACAAATCAATCAACTAAAATTTTTATTTTTTCACAATTTATCCCAGAAAACTTGGCAAAATCATCGACTCTCGATAAAAGCCAAGGAGCGAAAGTCTCGCAACAAAATCGTTTTGCTATAATTGAGGAGTTGATGGATGAGTAAGCCAAATTGACCGGAGCAAATGAAGAAAAAGTAGTGGCTGAGGTGGGAAGCAAAGCAATTTTCCTTTTTTCTTTTTTTTTTTTGAGTGTAAAATATAATAATAGGATTCAAAATATAATAATAAATATTAAAAAAACACTAATCTTTTTTTAAAAAATTGTATTGTTTTTTCTACTTTTAAAACTTTGAAATTACCCTTCTTTTTTTACGTGTAGAAAATAATAATACAATTTGAAATATAATAACATATATTAAAAAACATTAATTTTTTTTAAAAGACTTACTTTTTTTTTTCTCACTTTAAGACTTTGAGATTGTTTTTTCTTTAGAATCTAGGAAATGACAATAGGATTTATAATATAATAAAAAAATTCTAAAACACACAGATCTCTTTTTGACAAAGCTTGCTGTTTTCCCTCCTTTAAGACTTTGAAACTGCCTTTTTTTTTTCCTTGGGTGTAAATAATGATAATAGGATTCAAAATATCATAACAAATAAAAAAAAAAAAAACACTAATCTTTTTAGAAAATCTTGCTGTTTTTTTAACTTGAAGACATTGAGACTATTTTTTTTTCTTTTAAGTGTAGAAAATAACAATAAGATTCAAAATATGATAACAAATATTACAAAACACTAATCTTTTTTTAAAATCTTGCTTTTTTCTTTATTTTTAAGACTTTGAGACTACCCTTTCTTTAAGAGTGTAAAAGATAACAATAGAATTTAAAATATAATAACAAATATTAAAATGTACAAATCCACTAGTCTTTTTGAAAAAACCTTGCTATTTTTCCCACTTTAAGACCTCCTGACTGCTTTTTCTTTGAAGTGGAGAAAATGACAATAGGACTTGTCCGTGAGGAAAAAAAAGGATTAAATCTTCCTTTCACATTTAACATATAATAAAGGAACTTCTTAAAAACTGCAAAAAATGTGATAGATTTTAGAACAGAGAAAGACAAAATTATTAGGCAAAAAGAGAAAACCTGACAGTTTTATATGAGTATAAAGAATGCTACAAGAAAAAAACTCAAGTTATCCAAAACAAAGACATTCAATCAAAGGAGTATTTGTATAGGAAACACAAATGGAGAAGGTCCAAGACATCAATTCTCCAACTAGTTTCCACTTTCAACACGTCTTTTAAT